CGATGAGGAATGCCCAAAAACTGAAGAGAAAAAGCATGCCGCCTTCAGGGCCACGCTGCGATCGGGCTCAACGCAAGCTATGTGGTGCTTGTATAGAGATCTGAAGAAGGAAGCGAGACGTATTTGCCGCAATAAAAAGGGAGAGGCCGAAAGACGTGAGTGCAAAGAGCTGACCGACAGGAAAAACGCCGGAATTTTTACCAGAGAGTTATGGTCTGATTATGAAAACTTCGCACAAGTTTCAAACTGTCATATTTTCTTTAGTGGCATTTCAAATGCAGTATAGCAGTGGTTTTCCACCCTCTAAAGTGGTGGAAGCTCTAAGAGTGGTGAAGAAAATGAACCCGAGACCCCAGTTGATGACGATGGAGTCGATGTTCCACCGCCTGACTATGCCGAGGTACGAATAGCAATTACGCGGCTGAAATCTGAGCTTTTCAAGTAAGGAAGCGAGGAGTTGACAAGATGCATGCAATAACTCTTATGTAAAATATGGTCAAATGAACGCATGCCCGACGATTGGTATCTAAGTGTGCTCTGCCCAATCCACGAGAAAGGCGACCCCGGCATACGCGCCAACTACCACGGGATCAGCCTTTTAAGCATAGGTACAAGATCTTATCGAGCGCATTGTGAGAAGACTGAAGCCCACCGTCAATGAACTGATTAGGCCTTATCAGTGTGGCTTTAGAACCGATAAATGTACCATAGACCAGGTATTCACAATACGCCAAACCTTGAAAAGCAACCGCGAAAAAAGGATCGGCGCTAACTAGCTATTTGTTGACTTCAAAGCCGCTTCCTATAGCACTAACAGACTTTGCCAATACGCCGCGATGTCTGAATTTGGCATCCCCGCTAAACTGATACCGCTGTGTAAAATGACGTTGAGCAATACCACCACCTCCGTCAGAATAGGGAAAGACCTCTTCAGACAGGGCAACTCTCTTTCATGTGGCTTTTTTATTCTGATGTTGGAGAAGATAATAAGAGCTGCAGAACTGAACCGTTCAGGAACAATTTACTACAAGAGCGTGCAATTGCTGGTTATGCCGATGACAACGATATCAAAGGTAACAAAAACCGCGACGTCTGTTCTGCCTTTTCCAAGTTGGATAAGGAAGCGAATGGGTCTGCTGGTAAACAAGGTAAAGACGAAGTATCTCCTTTCATACCACCCACCCACGTTGACAGTTATAATTTCGAGAAAGTAGAAAACTTCGTTTACTTGGGAACAAGCATTAACGCCGATTATAACGTCAGCATCGAAAGCCAAGGCCATTAAGAAGTAAAGCTATCTCTGTGTGAAAACCACTCCCTATAAGTCACTCATCATGCCTGTGTTGGTATATGAAGCTTGGACAATGACCACATCCGTTGAGGCGGATCTTTGGAGTATTCGAGGTAAGGATTTTGCGGAAGATTTAGGGTCTTTACGCACTGGAGACGGCGAGCGGGACGACACCGACGATCTAGCTTTGAAGGTATTAAACTCGGAACCCGCTTGTGTTAGCAGAGGCCCCCATTGCAATGGAAGATCCAATTGGAGAAAGACTTGGCTTCACATGGCACAGAAGAGAAACGACTGGCGTGTTGTTGAACTCGGCCAAAACGGCTTAGCCGGTAACTGCGCCAAACAAAAAGAAGAAGAATGCTTCATAGCCTTCTAGGTTTCTTGAATTCATAAATCGGCTATGTTGTAAAACACTGCGTAATGGGTTTTCAAAAATTAACTTTCGAAATCACACGGTATGCACACCTATTATGTTTAATTTTGCGTCTAACGATTTCTGTAGAGGATGCAGTGGGGACAGGGAAATAATCCATCCAGAACATTCGATTAATTCGTTTGTAGGTAGGAGATCAATGTCATCGTGGGCGTACCTGGCCCAGTGGGGTGCTCGAGCAGTTGTAGTGCTGTGAACTTTACGGAAACCATGCCGATGCTTCACTGAGTCAGGTTGTTTGATGATTCGGCAGTAGCAAGACCTCTAGTGTCTTCGCTACCGGGGAAAGGAGGGTTATCGGACGGTAAAGACTCTCCTTTGTTGTCTGGTTTCTAGGGTTTGAGCAGTGGGAACACTCTCCCGATTTTCCAGATGGCTGTAATGACGAGAGAGTGCATTGACAGGTTGAGGACCTTGGTTAAATAATCTACTCGCGTAGGACCCAAATTTTCCAGCATCAGCAGCATATTCCGTCGGGTTTCCATGACTTTGAAGGCTTTAGCCTTCCCGATGGCTACCTGATCTTCACCGCTAGTGAAAGCAAGAGGCGCACTTGTTGTTGGCAGTTTGTGCAGCCTTCTGGTCACTAGACGTTAGGCTTTGCCCGCCGGAGGATGCAGTGTGAATTGTCGGCTAAAATGGCTCGTACATAGCTTCGGATCCGACGAGGCGCGGTCAGCAAAAGATATTTCGACTCTGTCGTTGCGCCTCGTCGGATTGGATAAAGACCTAACGGTTAACAAAAGTTTACTCACACCAGAGGTGAAGTTATAAGTCTTCAGATGGCTTTCCCACTTCTTCCGCTTATGTGCGTTCACAAGCTGCTGAATCTCGGAACTGAGATCTCTAATGCGGTGATTTCCGGGATCGGCCTGACGAAGGTTGTCACGCTCATCGGCTAGAACAGCCGATTCAGTAGGAAAGTTCGGGCGGAGGTCTGAAATACAATCGGCTAGTACGCAGCAGCAGCAGTGATAACCCTGCGGAACTTACCCTCGCCCGCGGATGTAAAGTCAGCAGGTTTATCAATCGGCATGACTATGGTCAGATGGTCTGATGCTAAGGTCGGCATAGTTCGCCACGTTGTGCTGCTCATCAGACCAGCGCATACAATTGTTATGCCTGGCGAGCTGCAGAAGCTGTCCATAATCCTAGTGCGTGCCTCGTCGTTACTTATGCAGAAACTCGTATTGTCTATCTGCTTGAATGCCAAAAATGGTGGTGCGCATTAAAGTCGCCAACCAGGGTTTCACCTCTGAGGAGCGCAAAACAAACAAACAAAACAGAAATGAAGTAAATAAATAAACAAGTAAAAAAATATATAAAAAAATAAATATTGCTTTTCTTATTGACATTTTATGTACCCAGCTAGCACATTTGCCAGACAATTTCTGATATCAGACAAGTCGGAATAAAAAGTTGACTATTTAGACATTTTTAGTTTATTTATTTCCTTATCCGATATGTCTGATCGAATTATGTCCGATTTCGGGCGTACACTTCTGATAATTCTTATTTTTCATGATTATTTGGTCAGAAATTTCCACGTCGTGTCGGTTAGGCTTCCTGTCAACGTCTCCATTCGCTTCTCTGACCGATATCGGCCAAAATCATACAGATTTCTGACTTTTTTGCCGACGAGTCGGACGGATATCTAACAGATTTCTGGCAATTTTACTAGCTGGGTAGTTAGTCACAAGTTAGTTGACATCTAATGCAGAGGTAACCTCCCTTTACTATTTCGCGGCATTCACCATAGAAATATAGTAAGCTTTGCTTAGAGAAAATATACATATAATAGTGACCTTTAGTTCCTTTCTAATCAACTTCAAGTTAACATATAGTTAGAAATATTTCTGCAAGTTATGAACATTTTACACGCATACTTCTTTACAATTTCCAATTTGACCTTTCATTTTCGTTTCCAAAAGACAGCAGCGCCACCTCTTTTTTCAACAGCGAAAATCAGCTACCAAATTTTTCCTGAAGATGGTGGTTTGAAACTTTGCTATACATTTGCGTCACTTGGCATCTATCAGCCCAAGCAATTGCCAAGAATCGAACTGTGAAACTAACTATAGCCGCCTTCGATTCGTCACTTCTCTGCTCGCTAGGTTTGAGTTCTGCCGCTTAAAGAAAAATTTTGTATGTGAAAGCAACAAAAAAGTTCTTTGGCAGCAATGGACGTTGGCAAGTTTGGTTTTACGTCATTAATGGCGGCTTATGTCGTTTTGAGTAACGTAACTGTAATAAGTAGTCGTAATTATAACATAAATAAAACACTACAACCAGTAGGTAGGTCTCTTGTGTTCCTTTTTATTTTAGAAATATTGTGCGAGTCTTCGATTTACGTTTTTAGTAGAATCCGTTAATGTCACTCAACTCATTTCGAGCAAATGGTATTTATTTATGTACATATATATTAGGATTTATTGCATGATAGAAGCGAAGGAATATCTTAGTGCACTTCTGGCTAGCAGTGAATGACAATGAGCTCTGCCTTTAAGGAAACTAATTTAAAAGAAAAACCAAACAAACTCAATATTTCCATTTAATTTTCGCATAGGTTTTATTTTTTATTATTCACTTAAAAATGTTAATTTTTTAATATATATTTACAAAGTAAACTAATAGGTTTTCTTCACATTTTCGTACAATTTTTCAATTTCAACATGGTTTTCTATTTTCCTTCGTTTTTTTTTTTTAATAACGCAACAAATTAAAGCGAGTACAAATAATAAATTAGCTTAGGTGAAGTTGTGTTTTTAAGTTTCTCATTTCGTTTCAATAGATATTTTATACATACAAACATACTCACAGATGAGTAATTATTAGATACTACAACTATAATTTTACATATATTTCTTATGCACATTTTTTGTTATCATTCACTTTTGCTCGTTTTTAAGCAACTTCTTTCGCTGCTAAGGTTTTTAGTTTTTATTTTTGCATTTTTTTCTTTCGATAATTACATATTTGCATACAAATTTAGTGTTTGTTTTTTTTAATTTGTTTTAAACATGTTCATGTATTAAAAAATAGAAAAAAAATATTTATATGTATTGTATATTGTAATATATGTATATTTATATGTATAACATATGGTATTTATGTATGTTTTAAAGTATGCTGGCTAAATGTGGTTGTATATAAGTTTTATATATATATATATATATCAATACATACACATACGTACATAAATATGTACATACATATGTGCATGCACATGTATAAATGTGTAAGTGGTTGTGTTTGGTTGGTAAGTCTGTTATTGTGGGCTGGTTTTGCAATCGGTTGCGGGACTGTGCGCTTGAAAATGTTCGCTACTTTTGAATAAGCGCTAATTTCATATTTCCTACGAAGTTATGTCCTACGAAAAATTTTAATTTCGTGCGCTATGGACTTTTGCACAGTACAGTAAAAATGTGTATAATTTTATATATTTATCATTTCATCAGTTGCTGCACATTTTTCGGTATCTTCTATTCAGTGAACTTGCTTGTGCATTCCGGTGTCTTGCTGATTTCGCTGTTTTAGTGCGGTTCTACTATTTTATTTGCCATTTCTGCTCCCCTTCACTCTGTAAATCCCTACTTAACTAATTAACTACAAGCACTTTATGTACTTTTGCTTACATCACACCAATTTTCAAATGCTTTGCCGCTTTAAATTACATTTACATGTAACTATTTCGGCATTTGCCTTTAGTTTACACACATACATATACAAATTATTGTAGGTATACATACACATATATAATTTATATCAAACATTCATATATGTACATAAGTATCTTTATCTAACCAGTTTCATAACCAGTTAGCTAGTTCTAATGGTATGGTTTTAAGTGTTCAACATAGTTCTGTGGTATAAGTCCAGTTTTACCGTTAAGCGTGCCCTGCAGCCAACCCGGTTCGTGTGAGTAGCGTACTGTGGGAGAGAAGAGAGAACAATTTGTTACTGATTTCGATTTCAAAGGTGTTTTTTTTTTAATTTATATTTACCATTAGTGATGATCTGATTTGGCTCAAACGACAGCTCACCCTCGCTTTCGCCCATACACGCGTACAGTGTGCGCACACGTCTGAAAGAAAAGAAGACACGTTTTCGAGCAAATTTAATAATTGTAGTTGGGGTGAAAATTGGAGAATCAATAATTTTCTTCAAGGTTGGTTTGAAAAATTTACATAGCAAACGTTGCGTAATTCCAGACAAAATTTATATAATTCTTAGGTATTTTGCATCGGTAGAATTTTACGTTAATCGCATAAAAACTTTGCGTGATAAGGCCTGTAGTAAAATTGCATAAGGAATAATTTTCTGAAACAGTATAATCCTCTTCCAGCCACTGAAATGCACTTATTTTGTAAGGTCTCAAAAAGAGGAGTCAAGACGACATTTTTTAAAGGAAATGCTGCATTAAAATTTTATACAGGAATATTGCTCTGAAAATTTCACTCTATATGGCCGAACAATGTTTTTCGCTCAGATATTATTAGGCTTTTATCCTGAATTGGCATTATATCGCCTCTGACAAAATCTCGAAATTTGTTGCAGTGTGAAATGGACGTCACGTTTGTCGGCCTGGTCTCTATTTCCGCTCCTATCACCGCCAGTTCAAATCAGCTTCTTTCTAGAAATAAGGTCCTCAAGTCATCCGCTGGAAACAATTGGGATGCGAACAAAGAAACGTTCGAAATTAACTTGCAACGCGATTGTTCGGTGGTATAATGAAGTGCAAGTTGTAAGTCGTTCGCGTTGATTTTTAATAACATAACAAACGCTTTTATTTTCCATTTGGCATGCAGATGTGCTCGAAATGTAAGCGAAAAAATTATTAAAAATCAATGCGAACTCTTAGCGACTTGCTACTTGCACGTTATTACACTAAAATTTAGTAATCTATAAAACTGCATACCCAAATTTTTTATAAAAACTAAAAACAAAAAAATACTTTTGGTAAAAACTTTTTATAACATTTCAAATTATTACTTTTTATTTTTATTTTTTTTGTTTTGGGAGAACCCTACAATAGTTTTTAACTAGTTTTTATTATGAAACTTTTATTAGCTGGAACAGGAGAGTCGGGCTTCTTCAAAATTGGCGCATTTTCTGCACCTTGCACTAAAAAATTTAATACACACAAATTCGAAAATTGGGCTCAACTAGTCTCTTGCGAATTTTATTAGGTTTCACTAACAAAAAAAAAATAATCAAACTGGTTGAGAAATGAAGGCTCCAGTGAATTATGAACATTAAATTCCATTTATGGACCACTGTGCAGCGGCGTCTAGCAACCTCACTTAGCTAACATACAAATTAGGTGAAGAGATGTTTGTCTTGCGGAGTTTCTTTACATGCGCAGCCTAATTGATAGGCAAATCTGGATAGATGCTGCTCGTATGTACCGAAGCGACTCCGGCTTTACCAAACTAGTGACTCTTTTTTGTCAAATGTAATTTTATTCTCATAGGAAACACCTTTTAATTGTTGCTTGTTTTTGAAACAATTACAGGCCATTCTAGCCTTAGAACCTTTTTTAATGCGTGTCGCGGAGAAGAAGTTTCTATTCTTCTTCTTTGGTTGGCGTAACAAGCAACGGAAGCAGTCACATAAATACTTGTCCTGACCTAAGGTTACACAGAGTAATGAACAAAACGTCTGTTGCCTTATGGGAAAAAGAACTGTGAGCCAGAAAGCCATTAAAACTGGCCAAAAATTCAAAACTTTTTTGTATTCGGTTAAAACTGGTCACTCGGGGGTTTTTGCGGTCACTGGTTAAGATTCTGGAGCCACTGTACTGTAATTGTAATCTTAACATTTTTAGGATTACAATTAAAGTATTCGTAATCATGTATTTCATACACCCCTATTCTGCAACACTTTCGTATTCGGATTTTGCTACGAATCGTAGAAATAGCATTCTGAAACCCAAGTCGTATTTTCGAACTTTCAAAATTCGTAACAATGGCATGCCTAAAAACGAACGAGTAAGAAATTGACAGCATTTTTGCGTAATTTTGTACGAAAATAATTCTTTGATGGAAGCGAGATAAAATATGTAAATTGATGTGTGTTTGCAGGAAATATTAGTGATATTCTTTTGAAAAGATAAATTTGCCTTTTGCATATACATACGTGTATTTTTATCGAGAAACTTGGATCCGGTTTAGTTATTTGTACAATGATTTTCGGTTGTTGTGTCCAAAGGCATAACCCGAATCTAAAAACTTTAACATACACGTATAATCAAAGGATTAAACTTTCATTTAAAAGAAATTTTTTAAATTTCAGAGCACTAGTTTATTAATCAATTCGGTTTGCACTATGCACTTTTTTGTAAATTTCGATGTGGGTTCTGCACAAAAATACTGTGAGTGGCGTTGACGGAGTTATGTATATACCCAAGAAATGCTGTATACCTTTGACAGGCGGAAGCCTCTCTTCTCCGGCAACACCGAAAGAAGAATTCTTCTTAGTAAGGATTACAAACCCTATAGAATCCAACGTTTTATTCAAAATATGTAAAATAGAACAATTTTACTATATATAAGCACCGTCTTCAAAAACAACTGATAGCTGGCAATGCTGCACATGTTTCCGCAAGGGTTGCCACATGTGGATTTTTCGTTTTTCTTAACGTAGCTAAGAATTACGAATTACGAAAATTCGGGTTCTAGAATAAGGGAGATAATTTCGATTACAGTAATCTAAGTCCTTAAGTTCTTAAGATTACAATTATTATACTCGTAATGGTAAAATTTATGATTAGGATAAAAGTAATCGTAATCGGATATAGTTTAAGGATTACAATTAAGAAATCGTAATTGTAAAGTGTCTAGCTCTGATTTGAACCAGTAGAACTTTTTTCGTCATTATTCAATTTCTAATTTTTGAATATTTTTTTATCTTTATGGGTGCATAACACTTCTTTATAAATTATTCTAAAAATTATTTTTCAACAACTTCTAGTTATCTATAAATCAAAAATATAATGATTTGAATCAAATTCAATACTTGAGTTTTGGTCACTCTTGACTAAACTGTGGCCCAGGGTGCATTGTCTTTGCTCGAGGTTTGAGAGCAATAAGGTGTAGTCATTCTTGTGATTATGCAGTTATGTACAGTTTCACGACTTACTCAATCCAGGCTCAAACGTTCCCTCGTGAGCAACACATGTGCGAAATGAGTTAACCAACATGACGATCAGGGCGGAATAAGGACTACGACTTGCGAAAGGTACATCTGTCCACTACCTAAACTGTTAGATGTCTTCGGTAACTGCAAGTGTGACATCAACGCATTGCAGGAAACGTGGTATACAAGGCAAGGGTACACAAAATATTCAGCCAACGCAAGCTATTATTAATTCGTCAGCAAATGAGACCAGGGAGCAATTCTATGAGCACCTGCAAGAGGCGTGCGAGCGTGAAGCCAGACTGGAGAACCTAATTACTGATTGCCATGGATCGCAGGAAATGAGACTATATACACAGCCGAAAGTGATCCTTATGGCCAAATACTTAGTAAACTCCTCGTAACCTCGTAAACTTGCTTAATGGATGGTATGGAACCCCGGCTTATTAACGAAATTTACATAGTTAAGAGGCATTTACGCGTTTAGATGAATATCCTGAGTCATTCCACATAAGTCGTTTCCACATAATATATTTTGTTTTAAAGACGCATTTTTTTGTTGTTGTTTAAATTTCTAGTGGAAATTCGGCATTATATGTAGGAATAGTTGGGTAAGAGACTAAAATCCCTTGCAGTACGGAAAGAAAAAAGATATAAGCTTTGAGAGATAGATTTTAATTTATAATCCCTACTCTTTTCCATTTTATTTTAACAAAAAATTCTCACAAAACGACATTTGTTACTCGGAGCCGGCGTAAAACTGTACTAAAGTTCTAAGCTAAGCTCCAACTGGATTCAAGTTATTGCAGTAGACTTTATTCATATAGACATATAACAACTAATAAAACTGGCATCAGATTTGGACTAAATCAAAAAAATTTCACAAATCAACAGTTTCTTACATGATAAAAATATTTATAAGGTACAATGTTTCTATCATGGTTTCTTCTTTGGCCTTGGAAAAACTTTCCAAATAAAAGGTTTTGAGTAGTGTTTTTTTAAGAACCTTACTTAGCCCCTTCAAGAAAACTTTTAACGATTTCGGCTTAATGGAGTCCTAGTAAATGTAAGTTTAGTTATAATCAAAAAAAAATCACTCCACTTACGCTGTGCCCGCATTCAGTTCGCGTTGTACNTTATCATGGTTTCTTCTTTGGCTTTGGAAAAACTTTCCAAATAAAAGGTTTTGAGTAGTGTTTTTTTTAAGAACCTTACTTAGCCCCTTCAAGAAAACTTTTAACGATTTCGGCTTAATGGAGTCCTAGTAAATGTAAGTTTAGTTATAACCAAAAAAAAATCACTCCACTTACGCTGTGCCCGCGTTCAGTTCGCGTTGTACCTCCTTGTTGCGATGCACCTTAGCCGGCACATACTCTCCATCTTTCGGCGAACTGCCACCGCCGCCAATCATAGAGGGTGCCGCCGTTGCCGTCACCACATCGTCGCAGGTGGAGCCCAAAAGCGTCGACAGCGAAGACGCTTGAGAGGAATGTGGCACATAGTCCAGTGAATTACCACCGCCAAGCATGCGACTGCCACTATTGCCGCCACCACCCATGCTCCCGCCGCCGACCCCACAGCCAATGCCATTCGCCGACGATAAGGAATCACAGACACTCTCATTGGAACTAGAGGTGGATGCCGCCGCTGCCACAGGTGAATAGTGTTTTGCCTGCGCATACGACATATGACCGCGGGAGAGTTGCGACTGCCCGCCACCACCGCCGCCGCCCGCTAAAGCCGCAGAGCCGTACAACGCTTCGGTGCGCATGGATATCGTTGGTGGGGAGACGTTGTTCATATTTAGCCGTGTAGTGCTGCCCGCTGAGGCGGTGGAATAAATACCGCCACTGCCGCCGATACTCGTAGACGCCGGCGTGGCTGTAGCCATTAGGTAATCTTGTCGCAGTTGCGTCGCATTCGCGGGCGTGGCATGATGTGCTGTCAGACCGGAGCCATTCGTGCCGCCGCCAAGTATGCCATACACAGCATCAGCAGCGCTGCTGCTAACGCCGCCGCCGCCACGAAGGCTGCGCACACTGATATCACTCTGCGACATGGAATGTAAATTTTTGACGCTACCCATATTGACGCTCATGCCAAGGCTTTTCGGGCCGCTGCCACCGCCGCTACCGTTGGTGGTATGCCCACTTACAAGGCCGCCATTTGTACGGCTTACCGGGTTGCCACCACCCCCGCCGCCACCACCACCTCCTCCGCCTCCTCCGCTGCCATGCGAATAGATTAGGCCATTTGGAATGTTTTGTAAACTCGATGACATCGGTGGATCTGTGAAGTTGGACTTGGTCACAAGCCGATAGACTTGCTGTTGAGGCGAATACATGGACGTGCGTCCGCCATTACCCACTCCACCGCCAGCTGAGGGCGATTTACCGGCTTGACTAGCACGTGGCACGCGCGTCGGCGGACTAGTGGGATTGGGTGCACTTAGCAGTGGCGCACTCGGGTCGCTCTTGAAGATGCGATCGTAGTTTTCGATTAAAATATTTATAACAATGTTGTTGAACTTGATGTCCAATATGGCAGCAACGGTCTCCTCCTGGGGGCGTAACAGTGTCGGACCGAAAACGACGCCCAGATTGAAGACCGACATTTTGTTCTTTTCAAACCTGCGCGATACTCTGCAAAGAGACGGCGGAATGAAATGATAATTGGAAATCGCAAGAGAAAAAAAGGCACACGACTTACTCTGTCAAATGCCTAATGACCAGATCGAGCATCTCGAAGTTNGCCGAAAACGACGCCCAGATTGAAGACCGACATTTTGTTCTTTTCAAACCTGCGCGATACTCTGCAAAGAGACGGAGGAATGAAATGATAATTGGAAATCGCAAGAGAAAAAAGGCATACGACTTACTCTGTCAAATGCCTAATGACCAGATCGAGCATCTCGAAGTTCGCCTGTGGCAGCTTGTGTACCAATTTATGCACTTCATGCACGCGCTGATTAAGGCTTTCTTGCTCTGCAAGGGAATAGGGGGTAGTATTGAAAATACTAGCATTTTGCAAAGTATTGATAAGATTTAATAAGCCGCAAAGTACTCACTTGCCGCCTCGATGAAGCCGCTGTGGTAGCGATATGTCATCAGTGGCTCGGTTAGATTGCGCAAATACGTTTTCAACGCACTCGCTATGGTGTTGCTCTCCATGAGATCCCTATACTGTTCGTCGCTAAAAACACTCTCCGCTTTCTTGTGATCCATGCCCAGCGTCAAGAGTTTGGAAATTTTCGTACCAACGCCGCTCTTGCGGTAGATACCCTCATCCTCGAGGCCACGCTTCTCCAGCACATCGATACATCTGCGCACGAAAGCGAAGCCCATGTCATCCAGCTGATATTCCTCGCCAGCCTTCACTTTGCCTGGGGCAAAGTAAGTCTGCAATTAGTAAGAAAGAGAAAACGATTTTAAAATTAGTATACGTTTTCAATAAAACCAGTAATCTTCCTTCTTTCTACTCACTGATTCAGTGCCGTCCATTGCTTTCACCCACGCCTGTCGATCGTCCTCGCTGAGCGCTTGAAATGTGTACACAACACCCGGTTTCTCTTTGAATGTCAAATCGAAGCAGAAACGTTTCTCGAATTCCGAGTTGCGTGGATGACACGAGTATAGCGTTAGTTTCTCCTCTTCACGTCCCTCAGGCCGTGTTGAACTGTGATTCATCTGATTGAATTGCAACATTGTGAATTCCTTCTTTTGTTTCTTGTATGTGCAGTAGTATTTCGTCCATGTTGCCTTGAATGGTTCTAGAAGAGAGATTTTCAAAAGGGAACCTATTTTATATATTAATCAGGGGGATCACAACATCGATTGAATGAATTAAAAAACGAAACAAAAGGGGTGGGTACAGGGAAAAAGAGGAGAATAAAATAAGTTATGCGAGAAAAAAATTAATTTTAAATTCGGAGCTTTTGGGGCAAGTGAAGGAACATTAGGGAATCTAGATTCACGGGGTTCATGCATAATGTTGATTCAACTTAAATAAGATTGCGAGTGAATTAGATAGACAGATATAATTGAAGATGTGCACTGCAATCTTAGGTCTACCGCATAACTCTTCACAAGAGCTTGTCAAGCCCTAAAGGTTTTATAAGGCCGTAGCCTCTGGTCACAGGTCCTTCCAATTTATTAATCCCCTTGTGGTTATTCCTAGAATTTTTAAATGGACTTTTGGCCTGCAATGATCCGAGAGTATTCTTGTTATATGTCCCAAAGACAGGGAGATTCGTAAGCTCCTTAAACCTCTCTTGAACTTACAGCTTCTTATAAGCTCTTCGACTGCATGAGCTACCTGATGTGAATTCTCCTAATTAGCTCTTCTGAGCAGTCGCTTTGCAGCTGTTGTTCTGTGATATATATTAGGAATTTTTCTACAGTTCTGAGTACTACGTTTAAGGTCATTCCTTCGAAGACAAATCCTTTAAGAAAACTGTGGTTTTTAGTATAAGAACCGTTTTAAAACAATCGATCCAGTACGGGTATGTAATACCCTGTTAGAGAAGTCAGTATACTTGTTCTTAATTTTAGTGGTTAGGACAAGACTGGGCCCCAATTAATGAAATTCTGTCTTAGTCTTGCAGATAACCAAGCATTTTCCAGATAAATAATAAATAAAATCAATTAACGGTATAGGCCTTCAGAACAGTTTCGATGAGTAAGCAACAAAAAGGAGCATCTTCACACTTATATATCGCCAAGTTTTTGCAAATACGCCTAATCGCCAAGAATAATAGTTATTTCATGGTGGAGTTTTAAAAGAGTCATCCAAATTCTCGGAATAATTATAAGTCTTTTGATAATGATTATGTGAGAGAAAAATTTTTATAACTATTATTTTAAGACCTATATAATAAAAGTCTTTTTATAATAATTGTCAGCGAGATAAATATTTCTAAGTCTTTAAAGACTTTTATTTTGAGACTTTTATTATAAAAATCTTTTCATAATAATTATCAGGGAGAAAAAATGGTTTAAGTTTAAAGGACGGGGCTTGTTCAGGGCCGTTTCGGGTCCACTTTTTCATGCCGGTTTCCGTAAAACGAAACTGAACCGCAGAAATGAAAAAAGGAACAAATTATAAACTCACGAAATCAACGTGCGCTTTTGGCGATTCACGAAAACAAGTTATGGCATAAATGCATAGAAAAGGGTAATAGTAGACATTGATCATAGAATATTAAACATCAAAACTTACTTTTTTCCATCAAAAACAAATAGCCGCGTTTTGTAAATTTCTCCTCCGGTTTCTGTAAATAAAAAGAACACAGGAATAAGTTATTGTTATTATAGGGAGCTGTGAAGGTAAAAATAGTTCAGTTAAACAAACAATTTGCATAGATAAGAAGTTCCTAGAAAAGTATGTAAATTTCGCACCCTAAATCAAAAACCGTCAAAAAATCCTAAATGTTCAGGAGAGGCAAAAACCTGTTGATGCTGCGCAAGCAACCCAAACAGTTTTAATAGTATTTTTCCAGTTAAAGAATATGGTGATAAAGAAGAAATCGTGGCGGATGTTACCTTTGGGGCCTGTGAACTGTTTAATGTGGAGAAAAAATAAATTTCAAGTTGTGAGTATTTTTAAGTTAGGGTGCGATTTGTAAGTTGTGATAATTCACTATTTGCTTTGGAAGACCAATTGGTTATCATGGAAACTTAGACGTGAAAAGTTCGAGACTGACTCAACCAGTCAACCAGACTCACTCATTTCGGACTTTTTGGATGTCATAAATTCTGAGTTGAAGAAAAGTAACAAAGTTCACGTGCATGTAAAAACTATTGCCGAACAGAAATATTAGGAATATTTGTTTTTAAGACACATATTTCAGACTCTAATGCTTGAAATACAATACCGGCGAACGGCAAACTTCGCCGAATTGGGCGATGCTGTCGTTCACCGTTCGCCCAACTATTTCGCCTACTTAAACAGAATTAGAGCGGTAGCGAAAACAGCTGATCCCATTTGGTCGCCTTTATAATTTGGGTGACCATATTTAGAAAAAACTAAACCATATTTAGAAATGAGGAAATGATAACAAATATAAATGTAAAACAAAGAAAGATTATTATAAATAATTTGTTTCAAGCCAGATTTAACGAATCCACAACTATATTTTTCAAACAACAAAAAAAAAATCGTGTTTAGGTTGTTTTCTTTTTAAACTTTGAAAGCACAAAACAAATACGGCCACCTTTGGCACGCACAGCTGTCATCGCCCAGCAGAGCGATAGAAATAAATCTATCGCCATGAAACGCCGCCAAGCGAACTTCGCATTTCGCTTTGGCTGTGTTCAATTTCATATGCTTGCGGGTGTTCTAATTTTGACAGCGCGAATTTCGCTGTGGTGAGTTCGCCGTTCGCCGGCATTGTATTTCAGCTATAATATCTCTTCTAGCTTGGCCTTGTATTGGAGTGACCTTTTAAGAAGGGGAAATGCTCTTCTCTGAGTCCTTTTTGAGCTCATAATGAGGATTTTAACTCAGAATTCTGAGACTTTTCTGACTCTAAAATGAGTCTAAATGTTTACAGGGTACTACATAGCAAATGGACTAGCTAGGTAGGTACCAGTAAATATTTTTGAGAACTTTGTATCTATTTATTGTATAACCCAATGGCTAAAATATGTAGAATACCATATTCGAAATGACCTAAATTTGCCTTCGAGTAGCGGCGAAGACGACCCCATGCAATGCGAAATTTCCGACTGGTCAGACAAGGGCGCGCTTCAAATACTCAAGACTTGAATATTGGGTAATGCAAGCCCTGATCTCAAGAAAGAACCATAATTAATAGTCTAACCGACTGAGCTCTGGTCACCAGACAGCGAATCATCCGTGAAAGTAAAGTCCGGAAAATGATTTTGTGTCGATTTTGCCTTATGATCTGGAGCGGGTAGTGGCCTTGTTGAACCTCATAACGAGTTCGGACGAGCATACACCCTATCGTTCTGTTTATTGAAAAATCTCTCCAAAGTGAACGTTTTTCTCTTTAGTAAACATGATTTATTTGTAACCGCTTCTCACGTACTGACGAAGCACGGCTTTCGATTTTGACCTACGTTTTTGTTTCAACGCTTCTGAAAGTCAGTGCCGGGTGTGTGTCATATACATATGCTCTGAGAGCCATGTATTATGATGTTCTTCTAATATTAATTCCCCGGGACTTTATTTTCTGCCTGCGCAGCAGTTTTCGATTCACTAGAACACAGTCTATTAGCGGCACACGGAGGTAAAAGAGGAATTTCTGTTAGCATTGTGTGCAAAAAATGGCGGTGGATGTAAACAAGGGATATCTTGGCGCACATTTTATGCCCGTAACCAGCTGTATTAAGAACGCGCTCCAAAGTATTTTGGGCACAACAACTTAAAAAGCTTGAAGATGTGCCAATATTAGATGTTGGAATCTCCCAAAAGCGTGGGCATCCTAAACGATGTCGATCTATGGCTGGATGCACATCCTTGCTAAAGCTTCCTATGGACGGACGTGAATGAAAGCGCGGGAGAAGTACATTCAAAGAATCTTTGGTAATAACTATTTAAGAGTATATGATACAACTTTTGACATTTCTGTACGTATGGCTAGCTTGGAATGAAAATAATTATCTTATCAATGCTACCATTATTTATTTAGGCTGTTGTCATAAAAAATTATAATTTTGCAATATTTTTCATATTAATTCTCACCGTTCTCTTTTCCATATATTTTGTCTTCAATTCGGTGACTTTCTCTCGAGTACCCTCGAAATTCTCACGTGTCTGCAAGTAGCGAATTTATAAACAAATTTTAAAGAAATAACAAATTTTATTAAAAATCCGACTCACCTTTTGCACCTTGTGCCGCAAATCTTGCAGGTAATCGCGATTATCCTCGGCCTGCTCGTGCGCCGTATGATAGAACACCAACCAACCGGAGATGAAGCCAAGCAGAATTTCAACAAATTCAAATTTAATGCGCTCCTGCACTTCCTGTATGCGTAGCACGTAACTCAAGGACTCCTGTACATATTCACGTTCGTGCATACCCAGACTGGCGTCCGCCTGCAAACAACAAACGAAAACAGAAAAAAACGTATGAAATAAATGCAAGTTAATTAGAAGAGTTGAAATTAATTAGAGAACTCTTTTCTCATTGCCACTAAAATAATAATTATGTGCGCAGGCGGAATTAAAAAAAAAAATATATGTACTTTTTTCTTTCTACGATTCCACGAAAGTTTCGAGGAAGTTCGGTTGAATGTTGAAAAAATATGAAAGACCACTCCCCCGTACCACCTTCCTAAAACCTAGGAGTTTATTAGCTTTGAACATTCAGCAAACTTATTTATTTATTTATATTTTGATAGAAACGCCCCACCCACAACAGCACAGCATAAAAGTGTTTTTATTTTAATAAGAGAGTTGTAAAGAGTTGTGCATCCATTACGCGTAACAGAAAATAAGCACATACTTGCATTGATGCATATTTAGACATGCCATGGACAGACAGCCCACCAGGATATTTTGAGCGTAAAGTTAATTAAAAAAAAAATAAAAATGAAAAATAAACTACGAAAGTACCAAGAAAATCTAAAATATTAAAAAATTAGTTTTACACATTTGAAAGGATTCCACATTAATAATAGTCAGTTTCGCTAAAGCAATTTAAATAAGTGAAAAATTATTTTTTTTATTTGAGTTTAACATGTAAACTGACAGAAAAATATTAAATTTTTCACTTAAATTGCTTTCGTGAAACTGACATTAAAGGCGGATTTCATCGTTTTAGTTCAGAACATTTCTTCCATAGAATAAAGGGTTCAGAACTACATAGAACGATGAATCCGCCTTAAGTAACAGAAAATAATGACAACAATTTTTGACATATGTACATATTTTTATAAAATATATATATTTTTTTAAATTAATTAAATTACTCAAAATAAACTTTTTGGTGATATGTTTATCGGAAAGCAAACTTTCACAATATTTAAAGAATAAATTTCGAAAAAATATGGACCAATGACACCGCTGGCGCCAAATCGACCGATCGGCTGTTACTTCGAAGTAATTTTTTATCCCAAAGGTCGTTTCGAATTTGACCACCAAGAATTGGAGATTCGATTTGGAAGTGTCACCGGGTCGGCCACTAATGGACGCAACTAACGAACACAAAATTTCACAAGAAATTCTTGATAATTTGCGCTGATGGAATGAACTATATAGAACAGGTTCAGACAGAGGCCGCCGAAAATACATACTCGCTATAGATACCAACATCGATATGTTCGATTTGAAGAAACCTTTATAGGAAATTTTTTTCAAAGCCATGCTAAAAAAACTGAGTTTGTCTGGTGGAAGAAAGCACAAATGAAGTTTATGCGGGCCAGGGAATCGAAATTGAAAATAAACAGCGAAAAAGTGGGATGCAAAACCGGGGCGAAGTGGTCTAAGACATAAGAATGTGGCAGAGGAAAATTCGTGATTAATTCCATAAATATTTTGAACTGAAGCAAATATTTTTACACTAAGTAATAGCGTGGGTTGGCGATTGGCACGTGCTAACAAACAAACAGGTAGTCTGACATATTTATACATATATGTTTTTGACTATACATGTGCATAAATACGGTCATACAAGTTAGCTGCTCGTAGATTTATTAGATAATATAAAGGCGAAGCCAGCAAGCAGAAACATATACATAAATGAGTCCTATAAGTCGCTGAGTAGGCAAGGCGTAAGTCAATCAAAGCGCCGGAAGAAGTGCTATAACAAATACTCAATAAGTTGGGCAAAAGAAAGGAGCATGGAGACGCATAAAAATTGATCTTTTGACCTTTGACATTGGCATTGAAAAGGTCGCTTTTGCCACACTGTGGACGCACCCCAATCACATTTTGGTTGAGCACACACGCCAAGCCAATAATTAATTTCATTTTCCTTACTGGCGAAAAGACTATACACAAGTGCCCGCGCGGTAGTGGGGTACAAAGGGAAAACTATGACGATATAAAATGACGTTAAGTGCACTGTAGCATATGGCACATGGTAGCCATGGCGCATAGCTTGGGGCACAATTGCCTTTGTTGGTGTTGTCGTTGCTGGACAACCAGACTACATAGTGCAGCAACGCAATGAAAATCTATTCATTCAATTTGTATGGTGTGCGAACGTCAGCAACTGTTGCTTTTACCAGTTGCAGCTGCTGCTTTGCTATGAAATGCGATTATGTACGAAATTTATGGCATCATCGACTATTGGCTGCTGGCAAGTGGCTATTGGCTAGTAGGAAATGGCTTGTTCATATACATACAGTGACGAGCAAAACTGTAACATGGTGTAACACTTTTAATTTCAGCCACCGCTATCTTTCCAACTTCTAAAGACTTTCATACTTTTGTTGTATATTCTTATTGGTACACCCCTACTCCCTCTCTCATAAAGATTTGAAGTCAATCCAACAACAATAATAAAACCAGCAGGCAAAAATGTAAATTAAGGCCAATGTTACAGTTTTGCACTCACTCTCAGTTTTGTATTTTAAAGTTATCTTTTACTTAGTTGGAAGTCAGATGACTTTTTTCTGTATTGTAATTTATTCAAGAAGAGATTACCAGTAAATAATATGGTTAATCAGGAAACATAAATGTAAATAATATATCTACTGCGGAAACGCGGGACCGTAGGAAAAGTGGCAAAAAATTATGGAGCTCGCCACGTGAAAATATTAAGATTGAGAAAAAATATAGCCTAAAAGGTTATTAAAGACAAAGGAAGTCTGCCAAAAAATATTACGGTCCGATAGCTTGTGAACTTAGTAGCAAGTAGCGCTGCAGCCACTATTACAGAAGCGCTTATTGAATTGAATGCAAATCATTAGACAGCGAGGGGAAAAATTGTCAAATTGAACGCAAAGTCATAATAAAAGAAGAAAAAGCCATTTTGATCAAAATACATGTGCGAGAGTGGTAGCATTTTGCCGGATCGCACGACAACCGGACCGTTGCCTTTTGGGATATGTTAGCCCTTACAGAATGCAATAACAAAACAAATTTTTAAGATTTAATTGAAGGTTAGTTGGTCTGACAAGACTAAATTAATCGCTTTCAACCAGGTGGCCAGGCATGGTATTGGATCAAAGACTCAAATTAAGCCTTAGCGAATCATGTAAGGCAAACCGCGAACCACAGTGATCGGTCAATAATAGTTTGGGGTTGTATTTCAAAAATATTGTTGGTCCCTTAGTACGCATTATGCGTAAAGAACAGTATCTGTTCATATTTCAACAAAACTTGCAAGATGTAGTCGAAAAATGAGAGTTTCTGCTGAAAAATCACCCAAAACATACTGCATATGTTCGCAACGACTGGATGCAAAAGCAAAAATTCGCTATTTTGAAATGACCTCCACAATCCGCGGATATGAATCTCGTCGAAAATTTGCGAAATCAACTAAAAGCGCAGCTTACTAAGTATGCAAGTCCGTCCAATGGAGTACATGAGTTATGAAAGCAAACCAAGGATATATGGGAGGCTATACCTCCAGAATTTTTACAGAGATACAAATAACAATGCCAAATAGCATCCAGGAACTAAAAAAAGCAAAAGTATATTGAACATTGTGTTAACAATTCTTTTTTTGTGTGAAAGTTGTCAAAAAGTTATTAAAAATATATAAGTGCAAAACTGTAACATATGCCTTAATTTACATTTTTGTCTGCTGGTTTTATTATTGTTTTTGGATTGACTTCAAATCTTTATGAGAGACGGAGTAGGGGTGTACCAATAAGAATATACAACAAAAGTATGAAAGTCGTTAGAAGTTGTAAAGATAGCGGTGGCTGAAATTAAAAGGGTTACACCATGTTACAGTTTTGCTCGTCAC